TTTGATGTATTAACAAAAGGAGAAAGCAGTTAAATTTTGATGAACAGGACTTTGTTCTAGTCTACTGAAACAAAACTCACATTTAAAGGAAAGTTACCATTTGTTTATCTTTGCTGTGTTGTGTGTTATAGATCCACTTCACCTAGTACTTTTACATTGCACAAAAACATGGCAGCTTTCAATTATTCCTGTTGGCTTGTTTTCTTTTGGCAGCAACTCCAATGCGGTACGAAAATTATTCCATCCACAATTCTATTTTTAGTTGCAATTCTCAGATTACAGTCTTCCGAAATTTGCATAATGCGAAGTGAGTGATAGGCAATGCAACACTATCCATAGCGCTTCCGGCTTCTTTGATTCTCTGTATTTTTTTTATGTACAACAAGTCATCGGCATGAGAAAATATTTTAATTGTAATGTAAACGTTCGGAGAGCAAAAGTGTTTGGGTTTCTTTTTAAACGTTTTAAACATTTTTATTTCGTCTGATTAGGGGTCATCAATGCTTAAAAGCTCATAGTCTGCTACATCTGAAAAAAAAAAACATCCACTCCAACATCACTTGTGTACGAGTGTTGCTTCAAAAGGGCAAAATAAGAGTTTAAAGCCCCTAAACTTTTGCAAATGTAGTCAAACCAATGTTGAAAAACATTCAATTCACCACTCAAACAAGTGAAATTTAGGGTAACTCATCTCCCATGTCATTTGACAGAAAATTCAAAGGGATGCCATAATATGGATGACCAAGCCATTCGAACAGCCTGATGTCTTCAACAAATGGGTGACCAAGTCATTCAATAGCTTGATGTCTTTTAACAAACTGGTCACTTAGTCACTCAAACGGATTGATATTTCCAAGGAACGGGTGACAAAGCCATTTGAACCACCTGATGTTTCTAGCGAACAGGTGACCAAGCCATTTGAATGGTTGACAAACGGCTTGTAAGATGCACAAATGGAAAGCCATTTGAAAACAGAAAGCTGTTAGAGTATTTTTCCCGTGTAAGGTCACATCTAAAGGACAATGTCCATGACTAGAGTCTTGAATTAAGGTCACAGCCAAACTGACAGTTAATGCAATACAACAAGTGAAAACAACTTACTAGGTTCAAATGAAATGGAAAAATCGAAAAAACCAAAGCAATTTTCTCAACACACCAGCAACCTACAGTCAAGATCAAAGAGCGACAGATTACATTAATGAATAACATAGCACACATAGGCAAAATAAAGTTCAAAACCCAGGCACTAAATCATGAATTGATAAGGGAGCAAAACTCGGAAGACTGAATACACAGCCAAACTGTCAGATTCTCATAAAGGGTCATTCAAGAGAAAAAACAATGTTGAAATAATGTCCACTATTCATGGCCGACATGTTATTTATACAGCCGTTACTTCTGACAAATATAACCCTCGACGCATTTTGAAGATGTACACACATGTTCTCTTATTGACATGAATACTGTAAAATTCCGAAAATAAGCCCCTCCATGTATAAGCCCCTCCAAATATAAGCCCCCGAAGCCGGTAACATAAAAAACCCTCCGTTAAATCGCCCCTCCAAATATAAGCCCCCCGGGGGCTTGTACTTGAAAAATTGCCCTCAAATACAAAGTATAACGAAACAAAAATGATAAATTTACTTCCAACTATACAGCTAGCCCAATCAATTTTGAAACGCAAATTTCCCTCCGTAGATAAGCCCCTCAAAAAGGGCCTTTGAAAAATATAAGCCCCGGGGCTTATTTTCAGAATTTACGGTATTTAAGTAACAAAGCAGTAGCTTTAGGTTTTTTTTAGTAGGGGTAGATTTAGCGTGGCTATCTAAGGTGAAAGAAGTTAATCTTGCTACATGGTGGCTTTTGTCCTGAAGTGACTCCATGACACAAAATAGACAGAATATGACTCACATTTTGAAATGAAGAACAAATAGAGGAGAGGCTGGTTGTATAATATACTTCTAAATTTAAGAACAAATTCTTTTTCTCCTCGCAAAAAAGCAACAGGTTTTAAACAAAAATCCCAATGCGAGATAACACCATCACTAGGGTAGGTCTGTTTTTGCATGAGCATAAAATGTTAAATATTATCTTCCCATAGAAAAAAGAAAAACTTCAGGCACCCTATCTTTGTGTCCGCTGGCAACCAAAAACTTTAATTACAGTGCCGCTCAAAAGTAAGTTACCACCCTTTTGTGAGACACAATTCTCATTGCATGCTATGCTATTTCAGTAGGGCAGGGCATGATTCTCATGGCATGCAAAGACCTAAAAACTGTATCATTACCAAAATTCTTCCGCCATTTTAA